AGCACACTCCTCCTTTCCACCCCTGATTCCCCATGTCCATTCAACCAGCTCCTAACCCTCTCTGCCTTCCCATCTCACCTCCGGACAGAAGCTGCGCATTTAGTCTCTTGTATCTACTTGAGCTAAGAGGCACACTCCTCATGAGTATCACTTTATGTCCCACAAGAAAGGGATTTAAAACATCTGATGATGGATGTGTTTTACATCTTGTGTCTCCTTTCTGTTCACTCTGTGCCTATATCTTCTCTTGCACCTACACTCGTACATCCTCCTCATCCCCGACCCAGCTTTTCTTCTCTAAAATACCTTGTCCTATGTCCAGGAGGCGTCTGGGTAAATTACCCTGGTTGGGAATATTATAGGTGTCTGGTTGATTTATTCTGAATTTATACAGAGTTTTTTCCAAAGACTGTAGCTTTCTGTAGAGGCTGCAGCAAAATATCTAGCAATTTTCTGATTCGCATTTTATAACTTAAAGGAGAGGGTGAGAATCTGCTCCAAAGCATGATGATTTGATCACAATTGACAAAATCCCAACTAAATAGAAAAATTGTCAAGGAAATACAAAGTGTTACATTTTCTTTCAATTTGTTCTCTGTGTGAAATCTCCATAAAAACCAGTTGCCATCAAGTCAATTCCAACCCATGGTGACCCCATGTGTGTCAGAGTAGAACCATGCTCCGTAGGGCTTTTAATGGCTGATTTCTCAGAAGTAGATTGCAAGGCCTTTCTTTTAAGGTGCCTTTCAGTGGAGTCCAACCTCCAACCTTTGTGTTAGCAGCATGTTAACCGTTTGCATTACCCAGGGATGTTGAAATCTATATAGGTGTAGTAGGATCAGAACCTAACTGGGAACCAGAGCTCTGCCTCTAACCAGCTATGTGACCTTGGATAAATCCATTACGTACTTTAAGTCTTCCCTAAACACCATCCTTCTTCCACCACCCCCAGCCCAGTCAGCCCCATTTCTCTATTCCCCTCGTTCATCCATATGTCTGTTGGTAATTGTGAATTTTGTAATTAAATTGAAATTTTGTAATTAAATTTTCCTAAGAGTTCCTTGAAAACCTCAAAGATAAGGGACCTCTCTCATTTACCTTTGTATTTCCAGTGCCTAGAAGAGTGGCTGGCACATAAATATTTGTTGAATGGCTAAATGTTTGTTAAATGGATGACTGAATGAATAAACAAATGAGCCCTACTCTTCACTTCTGTAAAAGTGAGACTAGGTTCTCCTTAAGGTTTCTCTTGCCTTAGTCTCATGATTCCTAAAGTTGTTCAGCTAACTTCTGATGGAGCCAGCCACCTGGGCTATGAGAGGTGGGAATGGAGCAGAGGGAAAGCAATGAACTGAGGACTAACTTCCCTTCCCCAACCTCATTTTCTCTGTCCTCTGGCCTCCTTCTGCTTTCCCCACATGGCTCCTCCTCGCACATTTACTTACTTATCTTTTCCTCTCTTTGTGTGCTGGTTCTTAGGACTCCCTGGAATATTCAGAAGTTGGTTCCATCATGGCTGAACTCAAGGTAGAGACCCGGGCCAGTGTGGACTGGCAGAAACGCTGCCTGGCCCTGGAAACCCAGCTTTTCCGGTTCCGCCTACAGGCCAGCAAGATAAGGGAGCTTCTGGCTGACAAGGTGAGTCCCAGAAAGCAAGTAGCTGCACAGCCTCAATGCAGAGGACGGTGTCAGAGAGGGAGAGTTGGGAAAGGTAAACTTTCAACGAGAGGCTTTTCCACACACACAGAATGAAACCCCAGGTAGTATTTTTTTTTAAGATCAAAATCAAAGCAGTTTACTAAACTCTCATCTTGCATTCTCCACCCCCACCCCCACCCCAGCCCCCGCTGCTGCTTATGGCACAACAAAGCAGTGGTACAAATCATTTGGTCCTCTGTCACCTCTTGAGTCAGTTGTGGCCGCAGTGGAGATTCTGTTATTCTATTGCTCACTCTCTGTTAAGCACAAGGACATAGGCTTTGGAGCTAGACCCTACTGGCTCTGCTACCTCTTAGCTATGTGTCCGTGGGCAGGTTCCTTTGTCTCTAAGTCAGGGACACAAAATGTCTACCTTTTAGGGTTATTTTGCGGATTATATGAGGTCACATATATAAAGGTCCTGGCACAGAATGAGTTCTTAAATGTGAATGATTATTATCTTTCCAAGCTTTGGTGGGCTGGTCTGGGAAACTGACCATCATTCCTAATGTTTCTATGGGAAGGTGCATTCCAAACAGCTGACTTACAGAGGTATTTTAGAACATAGCCCATCTAGAGAATGGAGACCTGCACTTAATATATCTGTATCTATATCTTAAGCGAATCAACCATTCTTTCTGTAATTTTGCTTATGGTATCCATCTGCTTAGCAAACCCTTCTTTTATAATACAAAGGTAGCATTTAGCCCACTTTTCTCCAAATAATGTCAAAGTCTTAATTAGTCAGGCCTGAGTACATGATCTATTGTATTGATAGCCCCACAACCCTGTCTCCCAGGAATACAAGTCAGTGGCGTCACCTCTGCATTTCCATAGCTGAAGGGAGTGGCCCTGGACTAGCCTTGACTAGATCTCATGAACCTTGGATCTATTGGCAGTGCTGTCTCCTAATTCAGGCTTTGCAAAACAGAGACCGTCAGGGTTCATGTGGATGTCTGGAGGTACTGCTAAGAGGAAGGGAAGAATTCAGTCACCTCAGGGAAAGGGACGCACAGCTTAGACACTGGTTCTCAAAGCGTGGTCCTGGGACAACCTGCCACACCTGGAGCCACCTGGAGTGCTTGTTAAACATGTATATTTCTGGTCCCCACTCCAGTTCTCTTGATCCAAATCTCCAGGGCTGCTGCTGATAATCTGCATGTTTAACAAGCTCCTAGAAAATTGTTTCATACGCTATAAAGTTTGAGAGTCTTGCTTTAGGATACGGTATTGGAGGAGAGGTACAAGGGAAGGAAAGAACAAGTGAGGATCGACTCAACCAGCTGGTCTAACACATACCTCGGGGGAAGAGACGTCTGTTTGTAGTAGTGTGGAGAACAAAATAAACGTAACCCCCATGTTATGAAAGACTTAGAAATACTGGATTCAGTATTTAAAATATCCCTTTAAATGCAGAGCTGCGCACTGAAAATAGTAAGAGAAGTCCTCAGGGGGCAAAACTAAGGAAAATTCAGACTGGTACTTAACTCTGGCAGCTGAACAGGGCAGGGTGGGGTGGCTGGCTTCCCTTTAGTAATGTAGGGTTTGAGATTTGAGTTTTGACATCTGTTTAGACAGAGAAGAGGTCTGGCCAGTTGGAGGCTGGAGCTGAAACTGAGACTTAAATTTAAAGTCCAGAATATCAAAGGCCAACGTAGGCTTTACCCGAAATAAAAAGATAGACAAGGAAAAGAAAATCATCCACTAGCACAGGGAGATGACAGAAAAGCTCTCTCAGACTTGGCCAAGGCTCTAGGTAGAAGAAACAAACAGAAAAGAAAAGTCTCCCGTGTGTCCCTTTTCCTGAGGTGACTGGATTCTTCCCTTCCTCTTAGCATTAGTTTAACATTAGGATTTATACCTACCCTTGTGTCGTTTGGTAACTCTAAGTTCTGGGCGAATGGTACCCCTGGGAAACTTTGTAGAAACAGACAAAACCTCTCTGGAGAAACAAGACTTAAACCATAATCATACATGATCACCACAGAAAAAAAGCCTTAAAAAACAAACAAACAAACAAACAAAAAATAAACCTATTGCCACTGAGTTGATTACAACTCATAGCGACCTTATAGGATAGAGTAGAACTGCCTCTTAAGATTTCCAAAGCTGTAAATCTTTACAGAAGCAAACTGCCACATATTTCTCCCATGGAGTGGCTGGTGGATTCAAACCACCAACCTTTCAGTTAGTAGCCGAGTGCGTAACCACTACACCACCAGGGCTCCTGAAAAAAGCTTCAGTGAAGATGAATATTTAATTAAAATTAATAACTATTTGAGGAAATACTCTACAGTGAATGAGAGTCCATATGTACAGACAATAGGACTAGACCCCCAGGAACTTCAAATGATAGAAATATTGGCAAGAGACAATAAAGTAAATGTGTTTAAAACTATTGAAGACACAAAGAAATTGAAAATATGAGAAAAGAACAAGGTACTATCTAAAACGTTCAGGCAGACTTGAAAAAGAACCAAGTAGAATTTCTAGAAGTGAAAAATATTTTCATTGAACTTAAATTTTCAGTGGACAAATTAAATAGCAGATTAGATACCACTGAAGACAGATTTAGTGAATAGGAAAATAAACCTGAGGAAATCACCCAGAATGCAGCACAAAGAGAGAGGCTGAGACGTGGATGCTGGAATGAGAAGATCCTATAGACACCAAGTAAGATTCCAGAAATAGAGAAGAGAATGAAACAGAGGCAGTACTTGAAGAGATAATAGCTAAAATGATTCCAAACTTGATGGAAGATATGAAGCCTCAGATTGAGGAAGCAGAATGAGTCTAAGCAGGATAAATGAAAACAAAATCCATGCTGGGCCATAGGATTGCTGCTGAAAGAAAGAACACAAAATAACAATGGCTTAAACCCGGTAGACATTTCTTTCTTATGTAACATTCCAGATATAACCAGTCCAGCTCTCGGGTGATGCCCTCTGCATGTTTGAAGATGGTTCACTCCAGTGTCCACATTCCAACCCTTTCCCTTTAAGCACACGACCCAAAGGTTGTATACCTTCTTTCTGCTTATATTCTGTTGGCCAAAACTTACTCACACCAGCTGCAAGGAAGATTGGGAAATGTAGTCTTTATTCTGGGTAATCATGTGCTCGGCTAAAACTTGGGAGTTCTATTAAATGAGAGAGAAGGGGAGAACAGATACTAGGGAACAACTAGCAGTTTATAAGTCTGGAATAATAGGAATAATTACTCAACAAATAGAAACAGAATATGTAACTTTCAAAATCAGTAGTGCAGGGAAATGAAATAAAGTTTATTAAGTCCAGGGAGGGAGAGAAAGAAAAAAAAAAGCATAGAAAACTGGAGTAAATAGAAAGCATAAAATGATAGAAATAAATCAAAATATCTCAGTTACAAGGAGACATGTACAAGAATGCTTATTCAGTATTATTGAATATATGAACAATTGGAAATATTTTAACTATCTACCACCAGGGGGAATGGATAAACAAATTGGGTATATTTGTACAGTAGAATTCTTCATTGCTGTTAAAATGAATCAGATGTATAAGATCATGTATAAGATCAATAAATCTTAGAAAGCAAAGTTGAACAAAAAAGGTCAGAAAAATATATACAGTTAATACAATTTACATAAAGTTTTAAAACCTGCAAAACAGTAGTATGTGTTGTTTAGGGGTACATACAAATGAGGTAAAAATATAAACACAGCCAAGTGTAGGATAAATACTAGAGGGAGGAGAATAAAATTGGGGAGATATACACAAGAGACTTCAGCTATATCTGTAGTATACCTTAATACTTCTTTAAAAAAAGCTGAAGAAATTATAACAAAAAATTAAACAAAGTTAATGGGAGATATATATGTTTTCAAAAATTATTCTCTATACATTTTTGTTTGCTTGAAATATTTCATAATAAAAAATGTTTTAAAGTGCCTCCCTCCCCTGTTCCTCAGGGGCTGAAGGAATAATTGGAAAGCTCTAAACACATTTAAATAAATGCTTTCTTTCTCTACAACCCCTTGGGTCTGTATAAGTTGAATTTTCATAATATCTACCCCTTCTTTTCAAGGGTGCATTGTTTATTTGTTTACCGTTGATTTGTGTGTGCGTGTGTCTGTCTGTGTGGTACAAAAATATATAATAAAACATTTGCAAAAATCATCTGAGACCGATCATCTATATGAGACCAAACAAAACCAAACCAAACCCGCTGCCATCATGTCAATTCTGACTCATAGCAACCCTGAAGGACAGGGTAGAACTGCCGTATAGGGTTTCCAAGGCTGTAAATCTTTATGGGAGCAGACTGCCACATCTCTCTCCTGCAGAGTGGCTGGTAGGTTCAGATAGCCAACCCTTTGGTTAGCAGCCGAGCACTTAATCACTGCATTACCAGGGCTCCATATGAGACCGAACAGTCAACCGTTACTTTAAAACAAAGATGAGAAGGTAAGGGGATAGGGAAACTAGATTAATGGAAATAGAACAACAAGAATGGAAATAATGAGAATGTTCATGCACCAGGAAGAATGTAACCAGTGTCACTGAACAATTTGTGTAAAAATTGTTGAATGGGAAACTAAACTGCTGTGTAAACCTTCACCGAAAATGCAATCAAATATCATTTAAAAATTTGCAATTTCAACTTCCTGTACATGTACAATTCAGCCATCACCACTATCCATTTCCAAATTTTTCCATCACCCATAACAGAGATGAAGTGCCCCCTAGGCAATGACTTTCCCTCTCCCCCTCCCTCCTTCCCCTGGTAACTACTAATAAACTTTGGTCTCTGTACATTTACCAACTCTGGATATTTCATATAAATGGGATCATGCAATATTTGTCCTTTTCTTCCTAGCTTATTTCACTTAGCATGTTTTCAGGGTTCATCCACACCATAGCATGTATTGGAATTTCATTTCTCTTTACTGAGTAATATTC